ATGAACCCCTCAGGACCAGTGGTGAGAGTGATGATACCGGGAGGGTGGAGGGAAGGTGATGGAGAAAGGGGGAACAGAAAACAGGGAGCTACATATAGCCTCCTCCCTGGGGGACGGACAGCAGAAAAGTGGGTGAAGGGAGATGTCAGACAGTGTGAGATATGAAAAAATAATTTATATATTATCAAGGGTTCATGGGGGAGGAGGAAGTGGGGAGGGAGGGGAAAATGAGGAGCTGATACCAGGAGCTCAAGTGGAAGGCAGATGTTTTGAGAAAGATGAGGAAAACAAATGGACAAAAGGGCTTGACACAGTGGCTGTATGTGTGGATTGTGATAAGAGTTGTACAATCCCCAATAAAATGATTTAATTATTAGAAAAAAAAGAAAAGGGTCATGAAAGGAGAGTGATTTGATGAAGTAGAAGAGGTGAAGGAAAAAACAAACACAAAATGAGGGCGGTCTGTCAGTCATCAAAACAGATGAGATCGAAAAAGGTTTCCAAAAATGGAATCACACATTTGACAAATATATTAAGTATATGGAGTGTATTTTGAAGGTGATAAGTTTGCTTTGTAAAAATAATTTAAATACATAACTTTGAAAAAAAATGGTTCAGTCTCTGAAACACAATGGAGCAGCTCTATTTTGTCCGCTCGGTCACTATGAGTCAGAATCGATGAGTTCGCAGTGGGTTTGGTTTGGTTTTGGAATAAGTAGCAAAGATAAAGTTCCAAAACAACATCACAGTGCTGTTAGGCATTATTGAGACAATGATCACTCATATGTGACCCTATGTGACAAAGTAAAACTACCTGGTAGGGTTGTTCAGTACGTAATTCTTTTTTTTAATTATTAAACACTTCTATTGGGGCTCTTACATCTCTTATCACAAGCTATACATTCATCCAGTGAGTCAAGCACATTTGCTGCCATCATCATTTGCAAAGCATTCTCTTCCCACTTGAGCCGCTGATATCAGCTCCCCATTTCTTTCCCTTCCCTCCCCCGCCCACTGTCCCTCATGATCCCATGATAAGTTACAGATTATTATTTTCATAGCTTACATTGTCCTCCATCACTCCTCATCCACTTTTCCATTGTTCATCCCCCTGAGAGGGGGTTGTAGGTTGATCCTTGTGATCAATTCCCTCTTTCTTCCCCACCTTCCCCTAATCCTCCTGGTAACTCTAATTGTTGGTCCTGAGGGGTTTATATATCCTGGATTACCTGTGTTGTGGGCTCTTATCTGTAGCAGTTTGCATGCTCTGGTCTAATCTGAATTGTAAGGTAGAATTGAGGTCATGATAGTGGGGGGAAGGGAGCACCAAAGAGCTAGAGGAAAGTTTGTTTCATTGGTGCTATACTGAACCCTTATTGGGTCATCTCTTCCTTGTGACCCTTTTGTGAGGGGATGTCCAATAGTCTACAGATGGGCATTGGGTCTCCACACCATACCCCCCACCCCCATTCACCTTGGGTATGATTTTGTTTGGGGTCATAGATGCCTGGTACCTGATCCCATCGACATCTCATGATCACACAGGCTGGTGTGCTTCTTCCATGTGGGCTTTGTTGTTTCTCAGCTAGGTGGCTGCTTGTTTATCTTCAAGCCTTTAAGACACCAGATGCTATGTCTTTTGATAGCTGGGCACCAACAGCTTTCTTCACCACATTTACGTATGTATCTATTTTGTCTTCAGCTATCTTGTCTGGTAGGTGAACATCACAGAATGCCGGATTGTTAGAACAAAGTGTTCTTGTATTGAGGGAGTACTTGAGTCAAGGCCCAATGTCCATCTGCAACCTTAATTCTTAACATATAGATATGAGTATGTAGTTCTATTCCACTGTCATTGTATATAAATGTGTTTCCATATATGCATGCCTATGTATAGACCTCTACAACTGTCCTGTGCCTTCTAGTTCTTTCCTCTATTCCTTTTACTTTTCTCTTGTCCCACCATCATGTGGGTTTCATTTGGGTTTAATAATTCCTCACTGCTACATTGCTTTTAATTAAGCCCCACTAAGCATCCTATGCCCTTCTCCCCATCGATTTTAGTTCACTTGTTGTTCCCTTGTTCCTGGGTTGGTTTCCCTTCCCTTCTTTCTCCCACCTCCCCTTCTCCTATATCCCCCCGGAAATATCTCTGAATTATTTATCCCACCTATCTTATCTAGACAGACATGCAGATACATTAATAAGCACAAAAACCCAGCAAAGCCAAATAAAACAACAAAGGAAGTCAAGACCAACAAAACAATATTAACAACCAAACAACAACAACAACAACAACAAAAAGCAAGCTACTGACAGAAATGGAAAAGCCTATAAATCGTTCAAGGTCTGTTTGTTGGCCTTTACAATTGTTTTCCAGTCGAGTCTGATGATGGGGTGCCACACTGTGTCTCCAAAGTCTATTTTTGGTATTCCCTGGGGATTTCATCACTTTGTTCCCCTTGCTGCTCTGTTGCATACCCTTAGTGTTTTGCCCCAGCGTGACGGCGGCAGATGGTGCACAATTCCCACCCTGTGTCTCCAGTATTGACCCCTGCAGTGCTATGCTTTAGTGAGGGACGTCATATCTCGTGGTGGGGCCGGCCCTATGGTCCTCTCTGTGCTTGTCTGCTCCAAGCAGGACTATCATCCTCAGAGTTTGGTGGGCCAAGATGCATAGACTATATTTCTGCAGGATTTAAAATGACTGATACTAGTCTATTTCAGTTTACCTCATGCCTAAGATATCAATTTCTATTTTTCCATTTAATTTTTGGCAACTCCCAATTTTCTTATATTCATTCTTTGTGCATTTCATGTTTTGATTATTAATGCATATTTGTTGCAGTTTATTCTTATTTTGAATCAGTCACACCAGCAAGGGATGGTCCCCAAAGCTTTACTCCATCCATGTCATTAAAGTAGACTCTTCATGGTCAAGCTCTTCTGAATCTCCAGTTGTACTTTGAATGCATTTTAACTTCAGAGGTTCACCGTTAGGCCTTAAATCAGATACTTTTCTACTTGCATTCATAAGGTTTCATTGGCCAATTTTTTTTACAAAAATGGATTGTCAGGGTCTTCTTCCTAGTCTGGATGCTCCACTAAAATCTTTCCACCAAGAGGTGATTCTTTTGATATTTGAAATACCAGTGGCATAGCCTCCAGTATCACCGTAATGCAGAAACCTTCACAGTCCAATTTACTGACAGATGAGTAGTGAATATGAAGCTTGCACCTTATAAAAGTCTCTCAGTATGCACGAGAACATTGTGTTTTTTCCATCTTGTTTTCTCATTTAGTACTAGTTAGAACAGTTTCACTGTTCTATGTGTGGGGTATTTTTTCCAGCAGGTACAGCTTAGAGCATACTTCTTTGTGATGCAGTAGCTGTTTGAGTATGGCAAAGTAAAATTGTTAATATTAAGCTTCTTTCGTGTATTTGCTTTCCAATAATTCAAGGAGGTAAACAGGAATGTAGAATTTCTTGAACAAAAATCTCCACATATAATTTTCAAGAAGCACACTCAAAATTGTAAGGAGAAGGATGTTCTTTAAGCAATGGATGTAAATTGTGTAATATAAATTCATGTTGGAGAAGCTGATAGCCAGAGGAAACAATGAAGAAAAGAAGATTTGGGGGGGGGAGGGGATGTATGTTTTCACATTTTCATGCCTATAATCCATTTAAAATCCATGAATTGAAAAGCACAGTCCGTTAAAGGTAAAAGTTTACATGGTATCTTTTATATTATTTGAGTTGCTTTCAAGCTATTATTTTCTTCCTTGTTCCAATTATAAAACCTTCAATACATTGCAAGATAAAGGGGTAAAATTTACTCCTGTATTATCAGCTATCACACTTGAAAAATCATTTAATTATTTTTTTCTGTAGGTCTCCCTTTCAGATAGTAGATTGTAAGCTTATAGAGTACAAGAAGATATGTCTTGCTGACTTAAATTTTTTCTTTAGCTTCACATAGGCTAGTTGTATTCAGCGGTATGTTGGTATATCAAATTTCTTGTGGAAAAATCCTTCATGTACTGTGTTTGCAATTTCTCAAGGTGTAGGCATGTACAGGGACCAATTACACTGGGTGTCATCTGTTTATGTGCTTAGGATTATGCATTCTTTACCTTGGTTTGTGCAGTACTAAGGAAACCATAGAGCATTTTTACAGTATTCATGAAATCTGGACAATTTTTAAGATAGCATTTTCTTTATTTTGTTGTTCTGTATAATATACCCAGCAAAACATACAATTCAATATTTATGACATCTACCATTTTAAGACATTAAGTCCATTATTTAAGTTGTGTAATAATTCTCAGCTCTTTTTCTGAGCTGTGCCTCACCTGCTAAAATAATTCACTGCATCCTAAGGTTTCTATCAAATCTTCAGAATTTCTGTGGTCATTTTGATCCCAAATAGATAGTTCTTTAAAAAGACACAAAACTCAAGGTACACTTTTATTTCTAGCTAAACTAAACAATTTCATCACGTTGGCTTTAACAAAATATTAGGGTGTATTTTTGGTTAAGGTTTAAAGTTCATTTCAAATGAGTAGTTTCTGGAGTTTCTCTAAACTTCATGTGTCCAGGAATCTGGAGCTCATGAGATTTATTTATTTTTTTAATTTGCTATTTACCTTTATCATAGAAATTGAAATTATGTTCTGCATTTTCACCTTCTGATCAAGATTTTTCCATGGAAAGAGGAAACGTTCTATTCTGAGATCCACTTATGTTGGTTGTGTCGAAATTTCATTTATTTTTTTAATTTATTATCTGTTGATGGACCTTTGAGACATTTCTGAATTTTAGCTATTATAAATAATAATAAAAGTGTTTAGAAGATTGACAAAGATATTTCTGAGGACATAACCTTTTAGGAAATATCTAGGAAAAAAATAACTGTGTCCGCTATTTCGCTGAACTTTACATGTCATTCATAGTAAGAAGTAATCGGTCATTTATTTTGTCATCAGGAGACTGAGTACAGCTTTGCGTATTTGTTTGGTTTTGACACTATAGATGATGGGGTTGAGCACAGGGGGCAGAAGAAGATATATATTGGCCATCATTGAGTGGACCATTCTTGGGGCTGACCGACCATAACGATGCACCAAGGATAGACTTGCCATGGGGATGTAGAAAATGGCAACTGCTCCAATATGGGAAACACAAGTGCTGAAGACCTTATGCCGTTCTTCAGGAGAGGCAATGCCCAAGACAGAGCGGATAATCATGAAGTAAGACAGGATAATGCATGGTGTATCTATTCCTGTGGTCAGGATGAGACCAATCAATCCACAGATACTATTGGCTCGAGTATCTGAACATGCTAGTTTAATCACATCTGGATGGTAGCAATAGGAGTGGGACAGGGCATTAGCTCTACAGAAAGAGAGTCGTTTAAGCAGCAAGAGTAGTGGTACTATTATGACTACAGTTCGTATTATCATCAAGAAACCCATCTGAATGATTCTGAAATTAGTGAGGATGGTGGTGTACCTCAGAGGGTTACAGATTGCCACATAACGGTCAAAGGCCATAGCCACAAGCACACCAGTTTCCATGAAGGTGAATCCATGAAGGAAAAACATTTGGATGATGCACATATCCAAACTGATTTTGCTTGCATTAAACCAAAGAACAGATAGTGTTGTTGACATCGTAGAAACTGTCAAGCCCAGGTCTGTAGCTGAAAGCATGGAGAGGAAATAGTACATGGGCTCGTGGAGACTCTTCTGGGTGATGATGACATACAGGATCATGCTGTTCCCCAAGAGGGCAATGGCATAGAGACAACAGAATGGGATGGAGAACCAGGCTTGGACAGACTCAAGGCCAGGAACACCGGTCAGCAAAAAGGTTGGAAATGGAGAAGTCAAGTTGTTTAGGATCGCCCTGTTGTTTTGGAGCTGTAGCATATTTGCTCAAAATGCTCACACCTAAAAATTCATAAATTAATTTATTATTAAAAATATCTGAAGAATGTTTTTGGTATCAATATCTTAAATTACCTCTCTATAATTGAGATTACTTACTTGAATTCAAACTCCAATATACACTTATCTTCTAAATCAGGAGTACAAAGTCATAGAAAAATTTGCTGATTCATAAATCTAATAAAAATAATGCACATATAATTTTATAAAATTTGATGCTATTTGTTTTCATATTGTTAAAATTTAAGATCACATACACATCAACAAGGAATATAACAGCTAGTTAGTCCACACAGCAATACAGACGTTTCAGTTCAACTCCCTTTCTTGGAACAGTTAATATACTGGAAGTCCTTCAACTCATTTGGACTGCCCAGTCTTAGGTCAAGGAAGCTGACAAAAGAGTCCTACCCCTGGGGCAAGGCAGACAGTTTGCCCAGCAACTCTGGGTGGGTCACCAACAGTCAGTAGCTCAAGAGCTTAGGGAAGCAGGCCTGGATGTTATATCTAACATAAGCAATGCAAGGTGACAGAATTCACCAGCCCCAGCTCAAGCGATGGAACCTCCAGCAACGGGGTAAGCAGGTCTTGAAGGAGCCTCAAGCTTGAGCAACAGGATCCATGGATTGGCCTGGCCAGCCGGTAGTGTATCTCATAAATTGAGGCAGAGAACTAGCTCCTGCAGCAGCACCCATGTTCCAGAATGCTCTGATTACCAGAGAGCAAGAGAGAGGGGCGGGCCTTGCAGAACCCTTTATCTATTTGCCCTCCAATCAAACTGCGACCTGATTAATCTCACATGTGCCTATAGGCCAGGTTGGCACAAGAAACCTATCTATGACACTTGTATATGGAAAACTAGGAGAAACTTGTCTCATCATATCTGACGTAATACACAAAGACAATACACAACATCCTACCGTACTTTAGTAATTTGTGACTGGGTTCTTAAATTGTGTGAGCAGGCATTTATAGGGCACTATTTCTCTCTCTTAATCCAGCAGAAAGAGTGGAGGAAAACAAAGACACAACGAAATAATCAGTACCAAGTATTAATATACCACATAAACCCTAGGCTCACTGACAATGAGACCAGAAGAACTAGATGACGCCCAGCTACCTCTCCAGATTACTCTGACAGACAGCAAGATAGTAGGTCCTGGAAAGAGTGAGAGAAATATGCATAACACAACCCAACATTCGGAACGAGATCGGGCTTCCTGGTCTGACAGAGGTCGGTGGACCCTATGGAAGTGTGACCCTTAGAAATTCTTCAAGTCTGGGACTGAAGTCACCGCAGCCCCTTACTTTCAGCTAAATGAGACACGGGCCTAGAAGGCGAAGAAAAACGCCAGCAAGGTACCCACTCCTCAGAACAAACAACCTTATGAGATAAAGGTAGCAGCATTTGCCTATGGATAAAAGTCGGAAGCCAGAAAGGAACAGGTAAATTCAGGGAGCAAGTAAAAAGGGTTATGTTACATTGTAGGAATTGCTATGAATGTCACAAAGCAAAATGGATAAAAATTATTGAACAGAGAAGCCATTTGCTCTGTAAACTTTCACTCAAAACCCACAGAGACACAACATTGAAGCAGTCAGTATTTAGCTCTAAGTTTAGAGGAAATCTCATTATTTATTATCTCAGGACTCCCAGAACATGTTGCCTATTGGGCAAAGAAAACGATAAGCCTAGGGGTGAAATTGTATGCAAAGGCTGTCCCTTGTACACATAAAAAGGACGCAGGGGCAGCTCAAAAGGTCTCCTGAGGAGCTGAGAAGGCAGGTAGTTGAAGGCAGTTGCGAAACAATTTAGAAGTGGATCACATTCTTTTTGGGGAATAACATAAAGAATGCAATGATGTCATTCAGTTGAATTTATGTAAGATGGTAAATTTTCACAAAAAACAAGCATGTGAAAAAGTAGGGGGAAAAAGAAATTTATTGATCTACAGTGTCCATGTGAATCTTCAGATCCAGATTTTCCTAGAAATGTGGATTTGAGATCTGTGATTGTATGAGTGCCATTTCCATCAAACAGCCTGGGTGGACAATGTCAGAGACATTTACAACAGAGAGCCAGCGAAGGCGGAACTCAGCAAGTATTTTGAGAAAAGGATGTGAACATTACAACAAGATGGACGGAGACAGTATAGAAGGGTCAAAGCCATCAGAGTATGAGGTTACAATGGGCATCACAAAATTTTCAAAACTTGTGGGAGAATAAGTCTGTAAGGACTAAAATATAAAATTCAGCTAACAATGTGCCATATTCCCTGAATAAAAATATGTAATCCCTGTGAGAAAAGTTGTGAGTCTGATATAGCAACTTAATAAATGAAAGGGAAAATAAATATTGGAGTCAAAATGCATTTTCTATCTGAAACTTTAGTGGAGAAAGCAATGAGAAATAATCTGGGAGGGAGGAGGGAGCATGAGAATGACTTTGATGATGTATATATAATTCGTTAAAAGTGATTTAACTATGGAAGTGTATGATATGTGAATATCATATAAAAAAACTACGACAAGAAGGGAAAGAAACTAAACTTGACCTGTGGTACTTATGGGAGAAGGAGGAAGCGGTTTGTCTTAGGGGGCATTGAGTTTATGTCGATGGTGGTGGAACACTTTGGAAAAGGATCTCAATCATGATTGTAGCACCCGAAGAGCATGATCAAAGACCCTGCATCATACATGTAGAAGGTGTTGAAAATTGACTGTGCTAATGATCATAAAACTCTTCTTGATATGATTGAACTACTGAATTTTATGATATGTGGATGACGTTCCAATAAATCTGTTAAAAGAAATAACCTGTGATTAAAGGGAGATGTAAGCTGGATAGATTTTTGTTTTCAAAATAAGAAAGGCTAAAGAAAAAGTGTGTATTTATAAGCTGATGTTAAACATGTTAGGTATGGAAAGATTAGAACTTCATCAGGCATGTTGAATTAAAGTGAGATAAATTTATATAAAATACCTTTACATTATTAGAATTAATTTCCTAAGATAAAATGATAGCAATAATAGCTATTATTTTTCTTAATCTCTTATAATAAGCATTTTAAATTACAGGTTCAGGGTTTGAGTTGACCTCCTAAGTAAATATCCTATGGTAAATAAAATGAAAATACCACATAATAAATAATTGTATATTATTACACGTTTTATATTAGCTTTTTTTGGTTACTCAGTTAACTCCCAGTGCCTTTGGTTTCAAAAGTAAGAGAAAACATTAAAAATATTTAACTACAGATTACTATGGAGCAAACCCCTGTCTTATATGGCTATTTGAGGGCTAGGTAAATCATAGTGTCACCTGGTTTTTCTGCAAGCTCTACTGAGCATCTGTGAATAGGCAACGAAGAAGAGGAATATATAGTAAACACCTTTCTCCACCTCCTTACCCACGTCATGAGGAAGAAATAGTTTCGTCTTTTTCTTCACCAGCAGAGAGAGAATGGCTGTGGTTCTGGGTCATGCACTTTATAGCAAGATAGGAGCTGTGGGGCAAACCGTAGGATAGGAATCTCCCTGGGGCCTTGGGAAGAGACAAACCAATCTCCTTTTCTCTTCATTTTTAAATAGAGCAGTGATGTAATCTCAATAGGGATTTTATTACTAATTCACATGATCAGTTGTAGAAAGGAAAAAATAAGTGCAAGGTAAAATAAGCCAAATCATATGCATAAATTGGAAGATTACAAAATGTTCTGTTTGGGGGAGAATAGAGACATAAATCAATTATAGCCCATATTCCTACTCAACACATGAACTCATATGGATGATGAATAATCCATACACAAATCTGTCTCTTTTCAGCTAATTACTTTCTTTTTCCCTGAGCAATGGGTCATCTCCGGATGTATTACTTGTGCCCCACTGTGCTAGTGGCCAAATAAGTCCTGGTATCGTTGTGGGTTAGATGTTGGGCTGCTAACTCCAAAGTCAGCAATTCCAACACATTCGCAGCTACAAGGGAAAAAGGTGAAGCATTCTGCTCCCATATGAATTTACATCCTTGGAAACCCTTTCTATCAGTGAGAATACATCCATCTCAAATGGGTAGGTGCTAATGGTTGGGATCACTGTGGGTGGTGTTTGGGAGTGTTTTGTGAATGATCATGTGTGCATGTTCTTATTTCCTTATTTCTGTTTTCCCTATGGGAAGAAGCTCAAGGTTGTCAGTGTGGGCAGTTGGACAATGGGGACAAACTAATTTATAGACAGTAAATCCAGATTCACAGGGAATGAAGATATTCACACATTTTGTGTTTGTTTTATCTTTAAACCGGCAGTAATAAATCTTGTATCTGTATAGATATAAATAAAAACAACCATTTGTTTATTTAATTAGTTTTCTTTGATTTTTGCTTTCTATTTTTTTGGTATTTCCTTGTAAGAGAATTCTTCATGGCAGGGTACATGAGAAGTTACATTGAAATACAATAACTCCACCCGTGGCCCCTACGAAGTGATCAACATTTCACCAACAAACGAGAACGTGAGGAAGTATTTGTCCTAAAGTTATAATGGTCAATAGTGGAGAGTTAGAAGTTCAAACACGGTGGCCTTCAGAGATTTTAGAATTATACCAGGCTTTCTAAATCTTTTTGTGTTGAACAGATTATATAATGTAGTTCCTGATATCTCTGACTCTTTATACTCTCTTCTGTTATTCTCTTTCCTAGAATATGGGCAAGATTGTGATTTGCTTCCAATCAGTAGAATACAGTAAAGGTGATGGCAGAAAGGTGATGGTATTTTCCTTCTGTGCTTACATTATACACAATTAAAGTGTTTATCTTCTAAGAATACATTATTCTGACTTTGATGGAGCAAGCAGCTATGTTGAGCAAGCCCACATCACAATGTTGTTATTGCTAGGTGTCACTGAGTCAGTTTTGACCCATAGAGACCCTATGCACAACAGAAAGAAACATGGCTCTGCACTAATTTCCTAATTTTTCCTATGTTGG